TAATGACAAACCACATATTCGTGCATCAGATCAGAGGAAAGAGATTTATTCCTAGAGAAAGCGAGTGACAGACTTGAGGTTTCTTTCAAAGTTGTGCATTTTGGCTGGTATCAAGAATGTTCAAAGACTAAGCGAAGACTAAGCTTATAAGTTATGTTCCTTGAGCTGCTGAATTGCAATTCTGTTTAACAGTTAAATTTCAAGTCTCTTTATACCAGTAGGACTAAAGTGCTACTGAAAGAAACAAAAGCAGAAGGAAAAAGAATAGCATTAAATACCACTATCAATATGAAATGTGGGCTGCTGAAGTATGACAGGCAGGTACATTTAATTAAGCAAATTCTTAACTATTGTCTTCATGTCCTTTTTTTTTACGATTGCATATTTCAGCCACTTATATCTATCATAGACTTAGAAGACATTCATATTAAGAATATGAGGCTTACACTTCTCATTGGATTGAGAAATATCTCATTGCATTGATTCTTCTTTGCAAAGAGGAATATAACTGACTTTTAGTCTTTAAAGTTAGAATTAAAAGTGCTAAATATACATGTATGGAAATGTTCAAAAATCATTTTTTTTTCAGTCTGTAAGGCCAACCAATCATGAAGGCATACATATGGGGGGAGAGTATTGTCATCAAATCAGCCATTTCAAAATACAACCAGAGAAAATGGAAAGATTAGAACTACTAAGTGGTGGGAAAAACTTGTTAAAAATGGAAGAGAAACTCATAAAATCAGTCTTTTAATACCAAGCAATTTAGGAAGCTGCAGTTTTGTTTTGCCTAGTTCTAGACTATCTGTTGGCATTGTATTCCTTCTGAACAAGAGATTCAAAAGTATCCTCTGTCTGACAAGACCAAGTGGATCCAGTATCCCAGGTACAAGTAGCTTTGACTGCTGTAGATCAGACCACTGAGCAGCACATCAATGGGAACACAATGGTGGAAAGTTGGTGTCATAGTTTCTAACTAGGATATGTGTACTCAGTTCTCGTTCATTACCATAATGACCTTTTACTCTCATTTCTGTCTGCTCTGGAATCAAAGGCAGTTTATTTGGTTTAACAAATGGTTAGTGAGAAATTATAGCTATTTTCTTCAGGGAGTGTGGAACTTAGAACTGGACGCAAAATCTCACAATTAACTATGTAATATAAACAGATTAGATGGGTTGCTATTGATAAAAATTAATAAGAGCTCTAAGATATCACATGAACTTCTAAGGGGAAGAAATGAATTCCAGTGGGATGAGAGCATAGATATAAAGTGGGGATTAGTTCTGGAGTCCCTGCTTGGAAACATCTGATTCTGCTGCAGGGGGAGGTGGGATGAACAGCTTAGAGAGCTACAATCATCAGTGGATTTTCAGCAAAGGTGCACAGAACTGTTGCTTGGAATAATACCACCACTTACCTAAAGGCTGAGGAGACTGGGTTTCCCACAGACTTGACCTTGAAGTAGTTATAAATTTTATCTTCTTTAAGGAGGCAATTTGATTTGTATGATGTGGATATTTGAAATTATAAAAGGTGTAAGTTATACATAGGCACATTGAGAAAACCACATGATAAAATTAAAACTAGTTGTTTTGAATATACAGTGTATACCACAAATAAAATAACTTGGTAATAAACAATCATCTGAATAAATATATTTCTTTGAAATGCAATCTGTCTAACTTTGCTTTTCAGCAAAATTCCAAATATCTACCTGCTGTAGGCCCTCAAGGTTGAAATCGTTAAGAACACAAATGTTATTTATTTCCTTGGGTGTGAAGAGTTTATTATACTGCCTAAATATCATTTTAGCCCTGGTTGTTTCTTTATGGTAAGGAGAATAATGAAATATATCATGTTCTTGCTTCATTAGAAAACATGGAAGAGGGGTGTTGTTAAAATATCTGGGTATTTTTGGAAAATAGGAATATGCCAGTCTAGGGGGATATTCAGAGTTTTCACAATTCACAGTCCAGAACAGGGGTGTACCTTGAAGAAGGAAAAGGAAGCTAGTGTTTACTGATTGACTGCTGTGGATCAGGCATTGAGCTAGATGCTTTTCTGAAATCATCCAGCCTTAATCTCTCTATCCATTCAAAGACCTGTTTCTTTTTTCTTTATTTTTCATCATTTTTTCCACTCCTTTAATCTTCCTCTTTTTTTCTCCTTTGGTTTTATTAAATATTTTTAAAGCAAATTCTAAAGGTCATGTTTTTTTACTCCCTACATAATTCATATTCTTTGCAATATAAATATTTTCTTATATAATCACAGTATCATTATCACATCCAAGAAAATTATAATTCTTTGATACCTTCCAACACCCAGTATATAATCTAGGCAAACATCATTCTGTGGTGGGTTTACTTGATTCTGGATCTAATGTGGTTCACACATCACATTGATCGTTTTGTCTCTAAATCTCTTAATCTAAGACCAATCTCCTTCCAGTTTTTTCTCTCTCAGTTGTCCTATAAAATTTTCACATTCTAGTTCTGTCTGCTTCTTTATAGTGTATTTAAATGTTAAGTGTAATTTAATTTAATTTCATCCTTCACATTTCCTGTATATAAGTTAGCTTTAGAGACTTGATTGGTCTGAAGTTTAATATTTTGGGCAAGAATTTTTCAAAGGTAGGCTGTGTGCTTCATACTGCATCCTATCTGTAGGCTACCATGTCTGATTATATCACTTCTGGTGATGCAAACAAAAATTGCCTTTGTCTGCCATTGTAAAGTTCCTAGTGGACTTTTCAGGAGATTTTTACCCACTGCTAATCTTTAGCTAAAGCAATTTGACTCTTTGGGTGCAAAATGCTGGTTTTCTGATTCTATCATTACTTCTATGTTTATTCCTTGGGTTTTAAAAATATTTAAATTTTTTTCCTCATCAATTTGGGCCCTCTGACTTCTTTGAAATACTATTCATACAGGAAAAGCAGGATAAACATTTATTTTATCTTTTAATTGACAAAATTCTAGATAATGTTTTAGTGCTTCAGAGGGAGCTATTTTTCTTTTCCATTTTACAGACAGAGAAATTCACACTCAGAGATGTCAAGTCAATTGTTTAAGATCCTAATAGCTATTAAGGAGCAGCAATGGTGTTCAACCCTATGGTATTCAATCCTGGCCTAAATGCATATGTTATTTCTTCTACCCCTGACCTCAATCCCCACCAGTTGCTGACAGGTAGGGGTTGCTACTGCAAATATGTCCCAGTGCTTTGCCCTTTAGAAGCCAAGCTTCAGGAATACTCCTTAGCAGATATTCTGGGCTATATAAACATAGACAGTACTCCAGAATTATAGCTCCAGATAAAGGTGCTGACCTGGATGGTCAAAGCCAGAAAACGTGTTAGAGTATTTAGTGGGAGAGACTCTGAGGCATTGTATTTTATGCTTTAGGCTACTGTAGCAGCCAAAGTGTGAGTCATTCTTAAGTTTTGGTTGGAGCAGATATACGTGACCAGAAACATTTGGATAGTGGTCAGATGTTCAGATGACTTAACATTTTAATTCTCCTTATGTTCTCCCATTTCTCTTACCTCCTCCTTCCCACTGCCATTCCAGATTTGAGGAACAATTTAGCTAAGTGCTTAAACATTATTTTGTAATTCCTTAACCTCAGTTGACTGTGTCCCTGGCTTCTGTCCCCATTCCTTCCCCTAGGAACTGTGGCCCTTTAGTATCTTAAGTGATATTAAAGAAGCACAAATGACTTAAGCTAAAATAAATTTAGGAGATTTTTTTTTTGAGCTTCATGGTGTCTACAACATCATGGGCTTTCAATGCTGCAGTCTCTGCTGACTTAAAGAACATTTCCCAAGATTTTTTGTGCCTTTAGTTGTACAAAACCTTTTTTTTTTTTTAGTGTCATTCACATTTCATTCCTTCCATCAACAAGGCAGTCTACACTAGAAACAAATGGACAAATAACAAATCCTAAAATTGTTGTTGGGAAGGTTCCTGTGCTTATTGTGGACAGAGTCCCTATCTCAACTCTGATGGCCCATGAAGTACCTCCAAATAAAGAAGTCCCACTTTCCTGCTGCCCTGAAGGCCTGTACCCAAAGTCCCTAAGTACCTACATTTTACATTATCAGACAGAAAGATGTATGCTTTTGCTATACTTGCTGCCAGTGGACTGTAATTAGCCCCTTGGAAAGATGTGATAGCTGTAAGCACAGGTCCTCTGAAGGACCTAGAAATCTAGAAAAAACAGGAGAAAAATTCTTCATTGTGCATTAAGAAGATTAAGTCAGGTACAGAGAATCCAAATGTTTAAAAGAATGGTAAAGGAAGATTGAAAATGTTCTATCTTTTGAAGTAGCCTCCAATTATGTTTATGTATTAGGATTCCTTACAGAGTATCTTCCCAGAGCTATCCAATGACACTTTCAGTGATGACATTAATGATCCATATGAAGACCATGAGCTTCAGTTATTGAGCACTTGAAATGTGGCAAGTACAACTAAAAACCCCTAATTTTAAATTTTAGTTAACTTCAATTAACAAAAATTAAAATTAAATAGCATATGTAGCCAGGGGCTACCATATTAGACAATGAAGATCTAGCTGTTGTGCTTTTAACTTTTTATATCTCCTCATAACATATACAAATTGGGACTATTGTAAAAGTGTTCAAAATTGAAAGCCCTGATTTTGTTAATCTAAGTGATACATTTTCTTTGTGAAATTAGATTTGTAATGGGTTAGAAATTCAAGCTTCCTTGCTTAGAGGAAAACATTTATATGGGACTAATGTAGAGGGAAAATTAATTATGCTCAAACTTTGATTTTTTTAGTTTGTATGAATTCTATGTATTAGTGGTCATGGCTGCACGACAGTATGCAACTTAATGCCACTGAAGTGTACACTAAGAAGTGGTTAAAGTGATAATTTTTTTGTTAATTTCATTTTACTACCATAGCAAAAATTAAATACTTTCTCTTATTTTATTGGGCCTGATTTTGTTAATATTTCTCATGCTATAGGCCTCGCTAAGGACCTGGTCCTGCACGTTCCTGGCTGCAGTGTGTTTCTCTTTGGTGAAGCAGACCTGCCTAAGAAGCGCAGTCTTGTTCAGAGAAGGAAGCAGCTGGGCTGGTTCACAAGGAGGGATTTCAGTGCTCTTGAGCCTGACCTGGGAGCTGCACCTGCCCGAAGATGTGGTGTAACAGGTTCTAAGTGTGGTCTTAGCTCTGTTCTGTTTTTTTTTTTTCTATTCATGATAATAGCATCCTGAGAACCCCTTGTTTGGTCAGGCCCTTATAATGATAGGAGAGTTACTTACATTAGTGGCTTCTCCTTGTACCTGATGAGGATCTTTTTTCAGTTCTGTTCCATACTAGGCACTCATAAGCTTACTAGTGAGCCTTACTGAAGCTCTTGTCAGGTATTTGATGGGGCACCCAGGGAGGATATCAAAGATATATAGCAAACCCTGCAACATGACCTCTGAGACTAAGAATGGATGCAGATCTGGTGTCAGGATCCTAGAGGCCCCATCTCTTCTGACTGTGGATCTGTGTCCCCAGTGTGATGAAGATACTCGGGAGATACAGGGAGTGCGGACTTAGGTCAAGGTTCCTTCTAGCTGGTAGGAAGATATTTCAGTACTTGGGCATCTAGCATGACCAAGTTGGTGCTTACAGCTGCAAGTCCGTTCTAGCGGCACCCTGGAGCAAAGCTTTTCTAGACAATGGGATTCTAGAACAAGAGAGCAGAAATACCAGAGAGAAAGGTATTTGTTTCCCCTGGATCTTATCAACTTTTGCCTCCCTTTGACATTCTGGCCTTCACCCCCCACCTCATTCTATAGGGATTACCTTAGAAAAAGCAAAGTCCTGACCCTGTTACCTGCACTCCACTATCCTAGGGTCTTTTGAGTCTTAATTCTTTCATCTAAAAAATCTTGTGTAAATGTCACAAAATAAGCCATGTTGGGTCAGATTTGGGTGGTTAGCTAATACCTTAGCAGTTACTAAAATACCAAATACCCCAGGAGCAGGAGGATGAACATAAGATACACATTTCTTATGGCACAGCTCTGCCAAAGCCTTCAGAATCATTTACACATAGACATAACTCCAGAATTCTGCTCTTAAATAAATAATATATATGATCACCTAGAGCTGTGCAATGAAATACACAGGTTTTAAAGCCAAGTTCAAATCCTGGTCTGTGTGACCTTGGAGAGTTTCTCAATCTCAGAAAAGTTTAATTCCCACATCTATAAAGTGGACATTGTATTAGTGTCTCCCTTATAATATTGTGAAGTTGAAATAATGTCTGTTAAGTGCCCAACACAGTAGTACTAAAGGGTTATTTTTCTTTCCCAATAAAGTGGAGATTTATAAAAATGTTGTTATAGATGTTTTTTGTTCAGTATTTTGTTAGAGAAAAAAGGAAGAAACTGATTGCTCTCTGCCAATTTGACATATTTTTCCATGATTTGTCTCACAAATGGAGATGTGTAAGTTTTATGACTAAATTTTCAGAAATCTATTTCCTGGTTTCTAATTTGAGCCTTCCTAAAGACTGAAGGAATTATACCACAAATGTAGTCAGCTCAGTGCCAGGTGGGCTGGGATTACAGTCAGTGGACAAGAGTTTGGAAGAGGTATTCTGGTGTTAGAGTACAGAACTGGTTTTAGCCTTAGGTTCAGCATACATATCAATTCTTATTTTTGTTGTGCTGTCAGAATAAGTTTTGGGAAGAATTTTAAACTGATCTGTATGTCACATCTGAGTTTAAGACCAAATGCTAATATCATCCCTATTCATATTTAATCTCCCAAGAACAAATGTGTTATATAATTGTTTAAATCAAGGTGAACATTGCTTCCAGTCTGATCTGTTGATTGATTACCTGTGGTTGGAATAATCAGTATCTGTACTCCATCATTACCTATTTTATATTGTTTGATTTGAAATGGACAACCCAGGGGGATTTCTGATTTTTCTCTATTTTTATTCCACATGGTTATCTGTGATTTACATGCAGAATTTCATCAAAATCTGTAAATCTCAAGTTAAAACTTTAAGATGCCAAAATTGGCACAAAAATGTTTAAAGATGATATTTTAAAGGTAATATTTAGTACTGGTGATGATGTAGTTAGAGACACTCATTCTGCCAATGCTAGTGTAAATTGGTATAAACTTTTTGGAAGTGAGTTTGTGAAATGTACCAAGAGCTCTAAAAATTGCCTCTTAGGAATTCCAGTTTTAGTGATAAATCCTAAGGAGATAATAAAAGGTATCAGTACTTAAGCATCAGTGTATTTATTGAAGCATTATTTATGAGAGCAAATTCTGGAAACAATGTAAATGTTTGTTATTTGGGAATGATTAGCTATGTCATATTCTCCAGAATTAAGTTTTAGAAGAATTTTTAGACATGGAAAATATAATCTAATATAGAGAGAATTTGTAGTTAATTGATGCAACAAATACATATTCAGTAAACTACCAGGCATTATCATCAGTGAGCAAAATAGAATTCATATGCTCTCTAAGAACTTAGTAGTTGGGGGAGGAGTAAGGAAACAGACAGAAAATAAACAGCTTAATAAATAAATGAATTGTATAGTTTTTTAAAAAGTAATAAGTGTTAAAGCCAAAAGAAAGAAAGAAGGAAAAAAAGGAACAGAACAAGGGCATTACAAATTCTTCGGTGAGAAAAATTATGATTTTAAAATGTGTGATCCAATTTAGGCCTCATTGTACAATCAGTATATGGAACACAGACTGGAAGGAGTGAGTCCAATAGCCCACATTGGAGATGTGAGAAGATTTAGGCAGAGGGAATAGCCCGTGTCAAGGCCAAAGCATAAAAAAATGGTATAAATAGTATGATCTCAGTATTGTAAAATACATATGTTTATGTATTTAATTTATATCACATATGCATTAGAAAAACATTTTTAAATTTCTAAACTTTCCAGCTTATTTTCATGACATATTTAAATCAATCTTCTGATTATTGCCATCATTTTCCTTGAAGGATAATTATTAAGGCTTATCAGTGGTTAATTTTATACAAGCTACATTTCAATGCATTTATCCAGATTAGATTTGATATATAATTAGTGATAAGAAGGGAAAAGTAACAGAAATCTTTTCCCAGATGTCTTTTTTCACCAAGATATGCTGACCAAAAGTAAAAAATGAGTTTGCAGAAGAAACGTGAATATTATGAGTTGACCATCATTCAGCCCTTATTTAAGAGGCTCAGGGAGGGTGCTAGTAGAAGAAAAATAAAATGCTTTAAGAAGGAATAATTCATTTCTAATAATCCACCAAAACATATAGTCATTGGAATTTAAGACTCAGCTGAAATCTTAGGTTACCTTAATTGCACATATTCTTTCTTAGAAACATTTTATCTAGAAAGAAGTAAATTGTTTTCATCTTTTGAAGTAATAGCCATTGAAATAGAATTTATAACTCTTGTTTCAGTAGGGTAGAAGTGTTATTCATCCAAATTTTTCAATGAATTTCATTGCCAGTAATAGCATTTTTCCCCTTATTTTAAAAAATTTAATGGCTTTATATCTATTTTTCTAACCTTTTTTTGTTATGTCAGTGTTTTCCAACATACTTTTCCATTCCACTCACCAAAACAGAAGAACCTAAACATATTGTTTTTGTCTTTTCCTGAAAAAATTTAATAGATATGACTGATGCTAACAACTGAACACAATTTGTCAACATGCCAGTGACAGTACCCAAGAGGAAGCAGAATCTATAAGGATACAGGATTCTGTTTTGAAGTTCCTGAAGAATATTATAAACAGAAGAGAAAAAAGTGAGCTCAAAGATGGTTAACACCCTTAGTTAGTGCCAAACACACAAAATCTTTTCAGCCAAATTCCTTCTAGAAGTTTGTAGTTGGCCAGCTCATGGGGAACATAAATAAGGGCAAAGTAGTAATAGTTGATACTTTTAGTTCTATAAATAAATACTTTATACATACATATTTAGAAAGCCTAAGCACTTATGGGATAATTTAAACATTGCTGTCTGATATATTGTATGAATGGCCTGGATTTGGCATCACTGTTTAGAAATACAGGGAAAATTCTTTGAACTGTAGTTTCGTCTGATGCCTCAGGAATCATAGAGGGAGGTAACTGGTACATCTTGGAACCAGGAGTTTCTGTTAGTTATTTAAATGGCTTACTGAGAAGCTTCCCTTGCTTACTTCTTTCTGCTATAAATAATAAATGCATCATCAGGCACTTTCCTGGACATTGAATAATCCAATTTGCACCACACCAAACATTCTCCTGGTCTTTGAAAATAATTCCTAATTTTAAAATAAGTCTAATTTTAAGAAGACTATTTTTATTATTTTTTTGATTTTTTTTTTTTTTTTTTTACCAGAAATCTGTTTGGGATAATGGAAATGAAGGTCTCAGTATGCAACTAAGTGTTTAATCTACAATGGACACATGATGACTTAGATTTTGCGTGAATTCCAAAAGGGCATTGTCATACAGTCGAAAAACTGGGGAGCAGGCAGGTCACCTGGGGGTCCCCTCATCTGGTCTGGCTTCATTATATGACGTTAATGTGTACCCAGTTCTGAAAAAAACTTTTCTGAATTATTGTGACTCTGAAAGATTTAAGGTCTAAAAATTGAGGTTTATACCTCCTCCTGGAGCAGGAATACATCGTAGTCATTTGCAGGACAGCTGAGCAGGGACAGTGTCCTGTCAAGGTGGAACTTGAATTCAGATCCACAGGGAGCTCTTCCCATCCCTGTACTGCACTGTTCTCTCTTAGCTTTCCTTTCTGTTGGTTCAGCTACATGGATAACTGTCCTGCATTCTTCCTGCTATGGGGGCATTGGACTTAGCAATTATGTTTGTTTTATGGCTTTAGTCATCAAATGTCCAGTTTCAGCTGTGGTTTTTCTTTAGTGCATGTTCTAAAAAAAATTTAAAGTCCCAATATGTAATGATAACTAATTTCTTTGGTGTAATAACTGTTTATATTTTTGAGCCTGAGGTCCAAGTCCAATGTCTTGTTCTGCTTGTTAATCTAAAGTGAATACCACAGTTAGGCAAGAATTTTACCTTATTTTAACCTTCTTCATGTTTTATACCCAGCAACCTGCCAGCAGGTTTTCAGGAAAAAAAGTAATTAATGAGGGAGTTGAATTGGTCAAAGAGAATCTATTTACTCAAACTGTGATATAATCTACAAATTATAATCTATAATCTCTTTTCAAGTACAAAAATTGTCAAATATTTGTACCTATAACATTACCTCCTCTTGTGCATGAGTTAATACTAGCCACCAAAGAGGGGCTTGATACAATAAATAGGACTTCTGAAGATATTCGTGAGCAACTTCTGACCTCCTAAACTGAAATTCATTTCTATGGAGTGAAATACATAGAATTTTTTCACCTTTGATTGATTGAGAATGATAAGTGTCTGGAACTATTTTTGAGAATAATTTTGATCTTAAGGGGAAAAAATACATGTATTTCTTCTGAGTGCTGCTTTTTCATTTTTTTGAGTGGGCTCCTTGCTATTGTTTTGTCTGAATACAGTTTTTTATTTGTGTTATTCCAGACGTGGTCCTACCACAAGCATCTTTAAACCAGACATTAATAGCATAGTTCACAGTCATTACTGTCAGTGCTCAAACACAAATATTGCATTTGTGTTTGCAAAAGCTACACATCAGATGTTAATTAAGTGCATCTGAGTTTTTTTTTCCCTGCTTAAACAATCTGGCACAAAGGGTTTATATCTATATCAGTTCACCATAAGGTCTCCACAATATCTGAATCACCAGCCATATAGTATATGGTAAATACAGTGTTTCCACACCAGAAAATAACAGAATTGTCAGGAGAACATCAGGCCTGTTATATTTCTCTGTGAAATAATAGCAACTGAATCTCAGTTTCTTTTTCTTTTTGATTAAAAAAAAGTATTTAACTAGGAGTAAACACCAATATTTAGAATGATAAATTTTTCATTAAAGAACACATGGAAAGTGAAACCATACCAGAGATTCTTTCCTTGTTTTAGCTTGCTTCAGGGCGTTGTGACAGTTGCGTTGGAATAAAATTGGAATTTTAGCCTTGCAGTGAGGGGATTCATGCTGCCACCAGAGCAGCCGAGTGCCAATCTGCAGGAGGCAGGAGAGGAGCGAAACCGCAAACTGAGAAACAAACTTTCACATCAGGTTTCTAATTTTAGAGCAAAAAATGGAATTACTTTAATTATATGACATTTAACTAGAAATTCGATTTGCTGGGATTAATTATCTCTCTCATTTAAAATACCTTCTTAGTAGGTTTAAATTAACATAAAAAAATCAAATTTAGCATTTAAATAAGGTCAATGGGACTGCTGGATTTAAATGCAGAATTTGATTCGGTATAATTGGATCACCATATTGGTTTTGACTTGGAAAGATTAAGTGGAGGAAATTGGAAAAGCATGAATTTGGGCAGAAAGAGACATTTTCTTTTCTTTCTTTCTTCCTCTGCCTCCTCCCTCCTGAGGAAAAAAAAAAAAAAAATGGGTCATGGCCTCATAACCCCTTGGAGAGAAAACTGCCACCCTGATTAAGTCAACATCTCAGATTCACTAACTGTCTCTGTTCACTGCCTGAGTGAGATATAGCAATAAAACCAAATAAAATTTTTGTGTAGATGAGGTTTGATAGAATTTAAAATATACATATCAAGAGCATATGTGAAAAAAATGACTATGTTATTTGTTTGCCTCTTAATTATTTCTGATGTTTCATTTTATTTCTCTAAGAAATAATGAAGTTTACACTGTTGAAAGAATTTTAAAAATAGAGTTTATTTTATTCAGGTAAATCAGGTTAGGGCACTGTATACATGCATTCTTTATGGAACCTTTGTGCTTACCTCTTAACATCTAAACTTGTTCTATCTTTAATGATTTATCTTGAGTAGTGAGTTCACCTTATTATCAGGGATGATCACTTTGGAAATTCTACTAAAAAGGGACAGTTACTAGTCACATAGTGGTTTAAAAAAAAAGGCCTTGGAATTTTCAGGGTGGATACAGGAAGAATACCATGTCTGTAGAGATGTAATGTCCCACAGAAGTATGGAATGAGGCTATTGGGTCTGTCTGAAGGAATATTTTTTGAAAGTGACCTGCTTCCCAAAGTTGACAAGCCTCATGTGAATTTCTCAATGTTGGTTTGGCCTATCAAAGCTATGGAATAGCAAAGTACACTAGACTAGGGATATATTTTGAATATGTATGCTTTTATATACTTTTTAAAAAATATTTATTTTTTAGTTTTAGGTGGACACAATATCTTTATTTTATTTTTATGTGGTGCTGAGAATCGAACCCAGTGCCTCACGCATGCTAGGCGAGTGCACTACCCCTTGAGCCACATCCCCAGCCCCTCATGTATATACTTTTCTGTATATACTTTTCCTGTGTATATACTCTTCAGCAGCACCTGTTTGTTAGAACTGTGGTAAAAATGTCTTCCTGAGTCAGAAGAAGGTGTGTGTAACAGATCTTAGGAAATGGCACTATTTATAACATTACCTATTGAGGGGTAGTGGAAAGAAAAACAGTGTTTGGATGTTTTCTATTAATGAGTATCAACAAAAAATTCTAGTTGTACTCTGTGAAAAGTTAAAAGATATTTAGAGTAAATGATTGATGTATGAGATTGTAAGAGAAAGATGTATTGACTGTTAGGAAATTTAATTTTTATGAAATTAGCATTATAGGGAAATACTGTAATCTGATTCATTCCTGCAGAATTCCCAGTAGAAAGAGGCCCAGCCTTGGGAGTTGAAATGTTTCATTATGTACATGTGTGGGAAAAAGATGAAATGTGGTTTCCGTGTGCTGATTTTCTGAAAAATGTCTATTAGTATGAGGCAGCGAGGCTAGGCAACAAAGCCCCCAAACCACCAGGGTCTAGGGGAGAGTGAACACAGAAAGCACTTCTCTGATGGATATTGAAATAATAAGCAATAAGTTTGAAAGTAGCCAGAAAACGCAATATCAGTAAAATAATGTTGAAATAGTAGCTAAGGAATTGTCATATGCTGAAGATGAGGTCAGCTTTTTATCCCCATCAATCCGTAGTCAACGTTGCTTTTAGAAATGTAAGGTTCCCCCAAATTGAGGAAACTGCAAACCTAAGCTTTTTATACCAATGCTAATTTAACCAAGTTGTCCATCTTATAATGTAAACTATAATTAGAGGAGAGCTATTTATGTAATGTGAGCTACACCATCCCTGAGGCAGGGAAAAGCAGTACATTTGCCCCTGAGCTCTAGAGTAACAGGGCTTTGGCTGGCAGTGACAGCCCCAGTCTCTTAAGAAGCTGGGGATGGAAGAAAGAGTTGCCTGCAATAGTTTGTGCAAAAGAAGGGCATGAGCATGTCTTTGGCACTCTAAACCCTTCCAAACTCACATCATCTGAGACACCAGAGTCCATTTGCCCTTCCCAATCCTGAGGCCGTTAGTTGCTTCTCAGTTGTCTCTTTTTCCTAATCAAGATTTGGTGTGGAGGTTCATTTTAATCCATGATGGCAGGCATTTGGGAAGAAAGTGGCACGTACAGAAGTATGGTTTACTCCTGTCTCTGAGACCCATAGGAGTGACACTGACTTCCAGTCTCTGGAGATGGCGGTGGAGATGAGTGAAAGCCAAGGCCTGATATAGCTGATGATACTGAATTCATAATTGTGCTTTCTGTTCTCTGTTGTTATTTTAGAAAGCCTGGGCTCTTCTTACTTCTTCTGGAATTAAACATCCCTCTGCTACTTTAGAGTAGATAAAATTCTCTGCTTGTAGCTCAAATGCCTATTATTTTAAAAAAGACCTTTGGAAAATCCTGGAGTTTAAAATGAGGAATATTTGTATTCTTTTAAAATTAAACCAAGTAAAGTACACTCTTTTGATTAAAATTGACTGAAGAATTGAATCTTTGAGGTGAGACCTTTGTTCTGCTCTATTAAGATGCTTTTCTAATGATTTAGGTGTTGGTGCCAGCCCATATGTGATGAACTGCAATGTTACAATAGATTCTCAAGACTTGTCTGTGGGAAGAGAGATAGCTCATGCCATTCGAGGATCCAGTGCACATGGATTGAAGGGTGTCCAAGCAATGGCTTTTCCCCATGAAGGGAAAATTGAGATAGCTTGCAACGTAGAGAGTTTTGAAAACCAAGAAACTACAGACACCTCAGAAGGCTCTCAATATGTGACTTATAGTGTTCTTGGAGACCGTTTTTCTTATGTGTCTCCACATTACATAGAAGCTCAAGTTAAAAAGTTGGCAAGTAATCAGGGAATTGGTACCATAGGAAGAGCGCTAGTTGGATTTACACCCCCGGAGTGCAAGAACTGTGCTGAATATGCTATAAAGGAAAATATTGGGGAATTCTGGAAGATTCGGGAAGGTGTTTTCATGTGATCAATCTAAGGCTTCACTGAAATTTTAAAGAAACGTATCAATCATTGCAAAATTTACTTTTGATCAATGAAGATCAGAGGAAGATACAAAGAACTTGGTTGCATCTGCGTATTGAAAAATTGGAAGCATTATTTCCTCAACAACAATAACAAATGCTTGTAGATCATCCATAATCACCTGTGATGTTTCTAGTCACCATCAAAACTTTGTGAGAGCCTGCTCTGTGTCAAGTACATTAGATGCCATTTTGAATAACCTGAGTAAGGTGGCCATAGTTGCTGAGCCACCTTTATGAAATAACAACAACAACAACAATAGACTCAATTTGGTTTTCCTGAACAATTTGTTTTACAATTGCTGGGACTGAACCCAGGGCTTTGTGCATGCTAGGCAAGTGCCCTACCCTCCCAGCCTGATTTTCCTGAATTCTGTATTCCCAAGTTCTGTACTCAACTCTTTTTTTTTTTTTTTTGAGTAGTCAATTTTTTAAAATGTGCATTTATGAAAATCATGTACTAAGTGATTAAAAAGTGGAGCAATTATAAAATAAAATCTTTCTTTCAAAGCATGATTGTCCTTTCTGGCTTTGCTACATTTAGAACGACCCATTGTTCATCCCAGAGATAACTCCATAAGCCAGATTTATCCAGGTTTTTATTGTTTATGTAGGGAGAGAGCATGGTGGTGTTGGGCATAACTTCAAGGAAGTGTTTATTGTTTTTGTAATTTAAATGGAAAGTCTAAAGGTTTAGAAATTGAGTACTTCTAAACAGAAAGAAAGATACTAGTGGAAGAAATTTTATTTGAAACAAACTAAAACATGTTACTTCTTTGTGAAGTAAAAGAAGCTACTTGTTGATTCCAACAGTTTTACATAAATCCTTAGTATTTGAAACATTTTAGTATAAATGCTTTCTGTTCTTAAATCTCAGAGAAATTAATTTTTCTACTAATTCTCTTTAGCAAAACTGATAATGAACTTCTCTAAAAAGAGCACAACATACAAGTCTATTTTAAGGGATTAAAAAGAGGTCAAACTCAAATCTTTTATAGGATCTGATGATCTAATATTTTTTAACTTACATTTGAGTCTGATTTCATTTGCCCTGTTCCAGAATTGTGATTTTGTATCTTCTTTTCTATACAATTACAACACAGATAAAAAATGATGGACTAGGTGTGTTTTTCATATTTAAGGAATATTAGTTGCTCTGGTGCAGAAGGAAAATGCTGTCCATTGAGATCTGATGGGTCATGACAGAGAAATGATAAGTCCTCATTCCTCCTTGCTTTGACAGAAGCCACGTGACCCAGCAGAATAAGCACTGAACAATGGGTTGGTGGACTTGGTTCTGGTCCTTATTCTTATCCCCTACATAGCCACAGTTTCATTATTTATGAAACAGGGAAACTAATTTCTGCACTAAGAGCTGTGTTGGGGGCAATAAACATTTGTAAACTATAACATAAAAATGAAACTTATTAGTAGTAGTCTTTGCTAATATATTCTAGAACTTTTCTTCAGTTTGGGGTCATCTGTATTGAATGGCAGAGAGGGGATAAAAGCATAAGATGCCATTGATTCTTTTGGGGTTGTAAGAGAGGTGGATTAATTTTCCAGTTACCAAGGTTAAGCTCTCCAGGTTCTTTTCTCTGTGTTCCAGACTGCTGGCTTTGCTCGAGACCTATGTGTAGCCATACATTTACTTACTAGGTATAGTGTTTCAGTTTTAAAAGATAAAAAAATCTCTCGAGATGGATGGTGGTAGTGATTGCACAACAATATGGATATACTTATACTGAATTACATATTTAAGAATGATCAAAATGATAAAATTTATATTGTATATAATTATCATAGTTAGAAAAAAAAAGCATGTATTTGTTCCAAAAAAGTTAAGAAAAACAAAAGACAAACATCTGAATAAGGTAATTTCACTGAATCCACAGTTTCTAAATAAAAAGTCGGCCAATTTCTAATATTCATTAATGTATACAAATATATGAGCACTGTTTTCTCTTTTGAATCTATTATGATGGATTCCGCTGTTAACTTATGAAATTTGGTTTAGAATGGGGTTTTAGTTTAAAATAGAGTTGATAAAATTTGGCCTTTGATCCAACTACTTAAAAACAATAATTTACTATTTTATTATAATTTTCAAAACCAGCACAATCATACTTCTTGTCTCATTCGTCTTCTGATTCCCCATCCTTCCATCATGGTACTCCAGGAAGTCTGAACCAGCTGTAGATTGCTGAGGTTTTCCCATGGACGGGCATGGCATCATCAGCTCTTGCTGTGCATGAACTGGCAGAATTAGCTGGGCGGGATCTGCAGTAACCAGGAAGGATTATCCCATCAGATTAAGGAAACCTGACCAAGTGAGCAAACCTCTACCCTGACTCATGTCAACCTTACCTCAGATTGGTCTCTTTGGAAACAGACCAGATTTGTACACATGTTTCTTCAGTACTTTTAAAAATTCATTTTGCCACAGAGTGGACATTGTATGGTGTGTGGCTTCACAGCTGGTTTCACCTCTCGCTCCTGCCAGCTGACTTTGCCCATGACTTGTGCCAGTTGTGGATAGGCCCACATCCATGTGGACAAATAAAATTTATCTTGAATCAACTCTTCAGTGTTTTTGTTCTACCCAACTTTAAACTTTAGCTTTGAGTTTTTTTTTTTTTTTTTTTTTTTTTAAAGAGGGAGAAGGAAAGCAAGAAGCTAGACTATGAGGGGGATAAGGTTTGTTTGCGTGTGTATGGGTGGGTGGGGGGTGTCATTTGTTTCTAACCTAAATTTGGCTTGTCTCATGATAAATTAAAATATTTCAACAAAAGGCCAGGGTGGGGGGTAAGTAAAATATAACTGTGAAATAAAACAAAATGGGGGGTAATATTTTCATTCCCTGACATAATGAAAAGCCTTGTTCTGTAATTGGTTTGTACTGTCTTGGAAGTGGCGTCCGTGGTCAACAAAGGACCACTCTATGAGAGATCTGCAAGGAATTTATCATTCCCTCTGGCTGAGCCAAAGCAGGCTTGATAGACAGTTTTGTTTCATATAAATATTCTCATGTTACTGTTTACTCTGTGGGAATATGAGGATCTCACTGACAGGGTACGTGCTCCACTGCCTTGCTTTTAAAGGCATTTATTTGACTCTGTTGTTTGTACTTGCCCAGAGACTTCAGAGAATGGCCCAGGAACTTGTTTGATAAGCATCCAGACCATGCTCCCAGAGTACGTTGTGCTTGGGGGTTAGAAAAGCTTATTGTTTTAAGCAAGCTGCACATGGCTTCCAAGGAGCCCATTTTTTGTAGGTAAGAACAATTAGGACATAACAGCAATCTCTTAGAATGCTTCTTGAAAATGTAAGCAAATGTGCCAGTGAGCATGGCTGGGGTGGAACTCAGACTGTCTTTGGATTATTCTGCCAACTTTCTTTGTCCCTAGTTGTAATGTTTTGAGACAAATTAGCTTAGTATAAGTTAAGATGTGAGAAACAGACCTAAACACGGGACAGATTTCTCTTTCTGCAATTTTCTTGTGTATGTTCAATCTATTGTCTCTCAGCTCTGCACCCACTCTTCCATAACTCGGCTTTCTGATGTTGGCACTCTGCAAACCACATTTTTTCTTAGCCAACTAGTTTTCTGCTCGGCTCTCATATGTGGGGTGCCAGACAGGGAAGGCTGCAGGCTGGAGAAAGGAAGGGGGCTTGCTTTTTGCTGTTACTGTCTATGACAGCCCCAACTCAGCAGTAGTTCTTCACCCTGATGGTAGCTCTTGGTTCCAGGCTCCAACTTTTTTTTGTGACACTTTCAGAATTGGCTTTGTCATGATCCTCAGAAACCCCAGCATGAGCTGAGCAGTGCCTTATCCTCAGAGGCCTGAGCCCCGGGTCTCGAAGGCCTCTTCACTGAGCCTCCTGGACTCTGAGAAACCAGCCTCTGTTTCTTCAGCTGTAGTGGGTAGTTCTTGCTGCAGCTATTTTAAAATGTCATGGTCCTTTTATTTTTTTAGTTTTCCAGCAGCTGCTGAGCAGTTTTTACGTTATTTCTTTTGAAGTACTAGATGTGGTTTCTGTTTTATTTTGACTGGGCCCATTGTGGGTCCTGTAGAAACAAACCAATCAACTGAACAACAGAGAGCAGGGAGAAGAAGGCAGAACATTTGCTGAATGAACATTGTTCCCAGTGGAACTACAGCATCACCATTGATGGTTACTCTCTTTTTCTTCTCATTAGCACTTTATTATCTTATCTGTTTTAATTTTGTCAAATTCTGTGTTCCCTGTGACATTCTTACTATTTCAACTAGTAGAGAGCTGAGTGTTGACTTGAAGTAAGGGTGGGACACATCGTGATACCCATTTGATGGTTCTTTTTTTTTAGAACTTTAATTAATATTTATATTTTAATTTTTATTGGCATATTATAATCACACATGATATATATTTATTGTTGGATAGTCATACATGCATGCACACAATAGAAGAGTTTAATTTGATCAGTTTCATTTCCCAGCACCTCCTTTCGGATAGAGTTTTCCAATGAGTGTTTTTAATGTAGGAGTTTATTCTAGCATTCAAAATGAAGACTAATGTAACTATGCATTTTAAAAATTGTCTTTTAAATCCCTGTAATTGTTACTTGTCTTTCCTTTTGTAGTCTTCTTCATCTGTCAGGTATCTATCTGATTCCTTTTAGCTGTGGGAAGCCCCCAGCCAAATACCTTACCCAACCTTTCTGCATATCATCCTCTCAGCTTTTACTAAGCAAACCCCAAATCCCATCTGCAGCCAGTTTTTGTTTCCTAATTCCTTACCTGTATTTCCCTGAGGAAAGACTAACTGCTTTGAAAAAAGTAATAATTGAAAATGATGTAGTTTAACAGTAACCCATTGTTATAAAACTGTCATTTCTGGTGCATGTAATGGATTTTTGGTAATTGATAAATATTACTATGTTTTTCCAAAAATTATGTTTAGTACTTCATCTTCCTTCATGGTGTCCACTCCAATATTTTGCAAGGATAAAAGGAAGATAAAATGGTACCAAAAATTCTTGAGTGAACCCTTTAGACATCACTGTTTGTATCTGTCTTTAATTGAGTACCAACTAATCATCAGGAACTATTACCTGATTTTTCTTAACCCTCTCGTGTAAGTGACTATAAAGTAATGCAATTGTCCAAGTTCTTTTAGCCTACTGGGCCAACCAGGAGACCCCTCCTACCATATTTCGTATCCTAAAAGGTTCTACCACTGCCTTAACCCTAACTAATGCTCTTGGACCCATGTCCTCAATACTCCAGGGCTCTTCTAGGCCTGAGCATCTTTTATCTCTAGTTTTTTGTAATCCAGTTAAAAATTGTACTTTTGACTGATTTACCTACCCCTCTTATAGGAGACCCCACCTCAGGATCCCAGGACTTCTTCCAGACCTCAGATCTCCCACCCCCTTAATACTTCAGTATTCTTTCCTCATTTAAAATTTCTTCATACGCTATTTGAATCAAATGTATGATATGTCAAGATCATTGTATTATCTTGAG